ATCGCCTTGGCTTCGATCCAGATCTTGACTTTTTCCTGTGCGTGCGTCGTCTGGAGTCTGCAGTGCCGAACCAGGTCTGCCAGGTCGCCGTTGAACAACTTCTCGTACTTGAGCTTCTCTGGGTAGTCCTTGGGCGTGGTTGCGTTCGTCTGCCCTACTTTGTCTCCTCGCGCCGCGAGCGCGCCGATGAGTGAGACCCACGCGCGTGGATGAAGGATCCCACGCTCTTCCAGCTCTGGAACGAGATCGCCATTCTTGATCGCCTCTTGATGATGATCGCGGGGTCTCTTGGCCTCTTGCCCGCAGCAGTGAGCATCGTCGACTGCGGCGCGTCGCGCGTGGCCGGTAGCTGGACATGACGGAAGAAGGCCGACTCCACTAGTCCGAGTCGATGTTCGTGCCCTCGTGCCATCCTCATCAAGATGGGAGTCATCGCCTGTGCCCGCTGGACCGGCATCGTCTGCATGTCTGCGAGGTCTCCCTCGCGTTGTCCGCATTGGTTGCCGGTGGCGGCCCAGACGTCGCTGCGCGAACTGGCGCGCCGGGGCCCCGCCGCCTGGGGCCCCCCAAGTGGGGGCTGCTGTGGCCGGGCCCTCGGTCCTGAGCCACCGCGGCGTCCTCGATCTCCGCTGCGAGTCCGACCGCCTCGCCCAGCGGCGAGTTCTCCGCGCCTCTGCTCCGCCCCAGTCGCGAGTGCCCTGTCCGCAAGGTTCGACGTCTATCACCAAGTCAGGAGGCGGTGGGGCGTGAACTTCTCGGATGTGTGCCTGAAGCGCCTGTAGACTAGGAAACTCGCCTTGAGCCAGTGCGGTTCCAGACAGGGGGTCACGAAAGGCCTCGTGCGCACTCTCTGGGTCAACGCAGATCGGGCAGTGCAAATCGTCGGGCATTCTCAACGGGGGCGAGTGCGCACTGTAATATGTCGGGCACCTGCGACGCTTCAACGATTGCGCAACATGTCTCTTGGCGAGCACCACAGACGAGAAGGTGGGCGAGCAATGGCAGCATTGGTTGGCCACCGCGAGCTGATGCATAGGTACCCTGATCTTGCGAGACGGGCGGTGGCACCGGTGCGCTCGCCGGGCCGCCCTGGAGTAGAAGACCCGGCCACGCGGGCCCCCGCCGTCGCCTGGAAGCTCACAGTAGAACTCTCGAGGGGGACCTTCAGGGGCAGGAGAACTTCAGGGGCATCTGGCGCGTGGAGTTCAGAGGGTAGCAGAAGGGGTCCATTGCGAGCCTGCTTCCAGTAGGCCTTGCGGAGGTCCTTGGCGTCTATGCTCTTAAAGTGTGCTGCAACTCTAAGGTTAGTGAATATGTTGTTGATGCTGTAGCCCTTGTCTAACATGTATTTCCCATGAGGCATGGCCTCTAGGCGCTTCGCATCTGCCTGCAACTGCAGGGCCCGCGGATTGGCCCCAGGTCGGATCCAGCCAGAGGGGGCGAACGTCGGGGATTCGCCAAGCGCCTTGAACTGCCCGAAGAGGGCCGCAACAACCTGCACAGAGCCATCTGGATGAAAGGCCAGACGTTGCCAGTAACAGAGACGACGAATCAACAGCTCGGTCCTCAACAGTTGATGCATCAGCCACGCCGACGGAGTACGAACGCGATCCCCACCAGGACCAGCATGCCGAGCGACCCCTCGAAGAGCGACTTTTGCAAGCCCTCATGTGACCGAGTCCAGCTTCGCAAAGTCCCGCTTCCCCTCAATATGCACTTCAAGGCCCGAGAAGGCCGCGCTCTGGATCACTCCCGAGAAAGCCATGCGCTTAAGTTTCAGGGGCGCGTGCTGGTTCCAGAATCGGCCTAGCTTCGACCGAGCAGCTCTCGCAGCGTCAACCCGAAGACGAACCTCGGCTCCAGCTCCTCCCGCGGGGTGTTCCAGTCCTCCTAAGTACACCGCCCCAGCTTTTACTTGTCCAGGAAACTACGCCAGTCCAGAGAGGACAGCTCGAATGGCCGTGCACCCCCCAGGGCCCCCAAACAAAAACTGGAAGGATGGTCCCCCTATCGACGTTCTGGCACCCCCCCCCCTTCCCCCAGCTGGTCAGAGAAGATGCGTGACGATGCTTTAAACCTCCGAGCTGCTCGAAATGGGTTGCCGCAGGGGGGGGGGGGGGGGGGGGGCGGGCGTCTGCGAGACATCATCAGCGTAGCCCCGCGTGGATATAGCTATCTGCCCCTGGTGGATAGGCGAGTCAATCAGCGTCGCCGCTTCCATCAACGGAACAGAACCACCGCCTCCTGCATCCAAGACTGCCTGAGCATCCGCCCTCAATATCTGATTCCTGGCCCCCAGCTGGCTCGCGAAAGAACGTGCGAACATCTCGCAAGCATTGCCGTCGCCGACGCCTGCGCCATGGGAAGATACGAAGAACCCTTTTGCCTCGCAAGCCTGGGTCTCCTTCGCAGCCCCGCGATGGCGCTGCTGCAAGAAGACCTGGCCCTGCATGTCGGGGGCCGCTTCTCCTACCACCTGCTCCAGCATTTCGTGATCGGTGGGCGGGGGGGCGTTGCGCATGTCTTCTTTTATCACTTGCAGATGCGGCGCGAGCTTCTTGCGCAATCGCCAGGGGCGGAGTTTGGCGACGAGCTGCGCGTTCTGTCTCGATCGACGCGCCGTGTAGCCGCGGGCGTGAACAGTGGGCCGCGGCGGCCCACGCCGCGCAAATATACCTCGATGCCAAGCTTGGCCAAAAGGGCAGCAGCAACGCAACGAACTCATGGCCGTCGCCCCTCGCGTGTCGCCCCCTTTGCTCAACTGAAGCGCGCGTGGCCAGTGCCACTCGTAGGGCGCGCGACTGGAGTGCCTGATCTGCCCCAGGATTCCAAAGAGCCCCCCCGCCAACCTCGGACAGGGGACACGCACTCGTCGTGGAGCTTCGCCGTCGCCCTCAGGAGGGCCTCCTCTAGATTCACGCGTGGCTGCCCTGAGAGCCAACAGCCAGGCCTCACCAGGGGCTGAATGCAGTGGCGCGTACCTGCTCCGCGCAGCATTTTCCTGGCAAACAAGGTCATTCGCCCAGTCGTCGCAAGCCGCAGCGCCAGGTCGTCCACGCATGTCTTTCCACTCTGTTCGCTGCCCTCGAGCGGCAGCGCTGGGGGATCCAGGGCCCAGCATTCGTGATGCAGAGAAGCCGCCCTCGGCGGCGCTAGACTCCATCGTCTCCTGTCGCTCCCCCAGAGCGGGGGCATATGTCGGGATCAGATTGAAACATCGTCGCCGTGCAACGTGATATCGGGCGCCGGTCTGGAAAGCAATCTTCCAAACGGTACTGGCGTGCCCCTGATCAGTCGCACGCTGTGCTTCGCGCAGCAGCTCGTCGACCCGTTCTCTATCCAGGCGCACTCTAGCCCGCCTGATCTCCTTGTCGCACGCGCGTAGTCAGAGGCGATCCTCCCCTGTGAAAGTGACGCTCATCTGTCTCCGCTTTCCCAATCGTCTTTCCCGCTCAGCTCGATATTCACGTGTGGGGCCAGGCCTGCACTGGTCCACGCCCGCGTCCATAGGGGCGCGCTGCTTCTCAGTGCGTCTTCCCAACTCCGCAACAAACTCAAAGGCGCCACGTAACTTCAACGCCTTGCCCAAAATATCACGGTCCCACTTTACTTCATTATTCTCGGGCGGGGGGGGGGGCAGTCTGTAAACGATAACGCAACTTCCACAGCATCGGGCAGTGATTTCGAAGGTGTGGCGACGGGATACGCTGCAGGTCCCTCATCGCTCGTCTCAAGCACGCGCAAGTCTGCGTGGCCTGCACTGCCTCGCATGGTCCCCACAAGTGGTCTGGATGCAAGGAGATGTGCGACAACGCCCCAAAGTATGTCGGCCCTGTGTTAAGGAAGGGGTCGATTGCCGCCTTCCCCTCCATACTCATCATTCTCCACAGTGCCGTGCTCACGCCATTCTCGAAGCTGTTCGCGTACTGCCCCACGTGCACGTCATCTCTCGTCCCCGTTGGTGTACCGCCCGCTCCCGCTCGCTTCCCCAACTCAGAGTTGGTATCTGCTCCCACTATCACCATGCTGCGGGCCTTGGCGCGCTGTATCGTCCGATGTAGCCAAGCCGTAAGTTTTGCACACGTAGTGGCCCAGTGAACGACCTGATGCTTCTGTGGGGGAGGGTAGTATGCCACCACAACCAGAATAACAAACGTCGGGCTCTTCAGTCTCACAGCTCCCCCCCGTCCTGCAAGGTCTTTGGGAGGCTCGATAATCTCCTGAATGTGACCCTGTCTAAATGCACGACGGCGCAACATTATCGAGCAGCCCGCACTTGTGTTCGTGTGTCTACCCGTCTGCCATCCGAAGTTCACCATCCTATGTCGTTCCAGATTCTGAAATGTCGCTGTGTCTCCTGCTCTACGTCGCCGCTGGCTGCCAGACAGGAGAACCGCATCTGCAAATCGCAACCGAAAAGAAATCCCATGCGCTCTCCATGCGTCAGAAATCGAGAATGGATTGTACAAATTCGCTTGTAGGAGAGAAGCCCACATGGTGGGCGGGAGCGGGGGGAGGAAGAGGAGGAGGAGGAGGAGGAGGAGGAGGAGGAGGAGGGGAGAAGGAGGGGGGGAGGAAGGAGGAGGAAGAGGAGGAGGAGGAGGAGGAGGAGGAGGAGGAGGAGGACGAGGAGGAGGAGGAGGAGGAGGGGAGGAGGAGGAGGACGAGGAGGAGGAAGGAGGAGAAGGAGAGAGGAAAGGAGGAGGAGGGGGAGGAGGAGGTGGAGGAGGAGGACGAGGAGGAGGAGGAGAGAGGAGGAGGAGGAGGAGGAGGAGGAGGAGGAGGAGGAGGAGGAGGAGGAGGAGGAGGAGGAGGAGGAGGGGGGGGGCGCGCTTCTCATCCTGAGACGCTGCATGCCGGCCACGGAGCCCGCAAACCGCCCAGGGAGGTCGAGGATCGCGGGGAGGTCCGCCCCCCTCTCCGATCGGAGGGCGTCGGAGGCCTGGACCCGTCGACGGCGACGCTCGGCGCAAGGGCACAGGCGCGCGGGGCGGCCGGGCCTGCGTGCCCGGCGGGTGGCAGCCCTTCGCCCCCGACACCCAGCCCTCGTTGGCGGCGCGCGGAGGGGGCGGCAGGGGGGAGGGGGGAAAAGCTTCTTGGAAGGAGACTGCTTCCTAGAAGGCGCCAGCCTCACATCTACAGGAGGCCCGCGCCCTCTGGGAAGCAGGGGTGCTTCTGAGAAGCCTTCCCTCCCCAGACATGCGACGCCCTGATTTTTTCAGTACGGCGTCCCCGAAAGTCCCGACCCTTTCGCCAGGGCCAGTTTTTCATCCTGGGTCCTTTTCTGATGCTCCCAGGGGCCGGTGAAGGCACCCAAGGGCCCAAGGGTCGAAAATAGCGAAAACCGTGCCGTCCCGATATTTTCACGACGCGATCATGTCTGGGTTCCCTCCTCCCCCCTGCCCCCCCTCTGCGCACGGCCGACCTCGCCGGCCTCCCTGCCAGCGTCCCCCGTCCGGAACCAGCACTTCTGCTCGCCCTCCTCGGGGGGAGGGGGGGGGAGAGGCGCGCCGGCGGGGCCGGAGGGCCGCCCCACGCGGGGCGAGGGCGGGCCTCTCGCCGTCGCTCGGACGCCCGTTCCCCGTGCATGGTTCGATGTCGTGCGCCTCTGGCTTCGCAAGACGACCCCCCGGACGTGATCGCATCATGAAAACATCGGGACGGCCCATGCTTCGCTACTTGCGGCCCCCAGGGACCCTCGCCGGCCCCCTGGAGCGTCACAAAACACGATCGTTGGTTGACGCTCCCAGGGGCCGGTTTGTCATCCTGAGTCGACTCGGGATGAAAAACCGCTCCCAGGGAGCGGTTCGGGACTTCCGGGGACGCCGCACTGAAAAAGTCAGGGCGTCGCACGTCTGGGGAGGGAAGGCTCTTCCGAGCGACGCCAGGGGCCTTGCCTCCGAGGCTCTCGGGGGCGCTCTTGCCAGCTTTTCGCGCGCCCGCTTTTGTGGAGGCCCCTGGTTGGCGTGGAGCGGGCGGGTCCTGCGGGTCCTGCGGGAAACGGGTCCTGACCCCCAGGGCCTTCCCCCAGGACCAGCCTTCCGTCCTGATGCGTGCCACCGCGGAGGGCCCCTGGAGGCCGAAAGCGGCGAAAAACCTCATGGTACCCGCTCCTCTCAGGGCCCGTGTGCTTCGAGGCGATGTGGGGGCCTCCAGAGCCAACCTGTCTGCTCGCCTCCGTAACCAGCACTTCGCCTTCGCGCTCGCGCGCCGCCCGCCCCAAGAGGGCAACCCTTCGCCCCCAGGCCGCGATGCGGGGGGCGCGGCCCGCTCTGCGCCCCTGCGGGAGACCACGGGTGAGGATGCCGCGCCACTGGGGTCGAGCGAGGAAGGGTGCGCCGAACGAGGAGATACACAGCCCCTGGACCACAGCAGCACATGGCGATCCCACTTGCCCAGGGGGATCCTGGAGGAGAGAAGCTGCTCTTCCTCCGGGCTGGTCCCTGAGGACGCGCACAGGACAGAGCGCTGGGCTCTCGCGCCCGTGCGCCAGCCGCGCTCGGCTGAAAGATGCAGTCGATCGGGGAAGTCTTGAAGGACATCTGTGTGACACCGGAGGGGCGGACCGAACAAGAAACTGGCGGGCGGGCCACAGCGGCCGTCGAGAAGGCAGTGGTGGGCCGAAGAGGCACGGATGAGAGCGCAGCCTTGATGCAACCCGAAGCTGACAATACAATAATGCGTTCTGGTTGGCATGGCTGGGTGTAGAAGGCTGCTTCCTGTCGTGTCCACGTTGGTCAGTGACACCGCGACGCTGTGTTACCTGGGGGGATAACGCATGTTACCCGGGGGATAACGCAGATTACCCGGGGGATAGCGCATGCTACCCGGGGGGAGGGGGGGGGCGTGGGGGGGGTAACGATAACTGGGGCCGCGGCGCCGCCTACGTCGTCGTCGTCGTCGTCGTCGTCGTCGTCGCCGTCGCCGCTCAAGCCCACAGCGCCTGTGCACACAACACAGGTTCTGTACAATGCCATTGTGCACCAGGGCTGCTACAGAAATCGTATGTGTGTGCACCACGGTGACTGCGTACACCATAACAACCGCGTGCACCACGACACCTTTATACATCTCGCGGATTGTGCACACCACGGCGCCTGCGTGCACCACAGCCGATGTTTCAGCACCCTCTGTGCACCACAGCGCCTGCGCACACCGCAAAGGTCGTGTACGCCTGAAGGCAATGCCGACGAGGCCAAGCTCTGGAAAATCGTCGAGGGCCCGAACATATCAAATTCAATATGTATTTGTTTCTGGCCCGGGGTATGGTCCCCCGTTTTTGGCCGACCATGTTTGTGTACACCACAACGCCTGTCTGGCGTGCGCCACGACGCCTTTGTACACCACAGCTGATTATGTACACCGCAGTGCCTGTCTAGACAACAATGCCTGTATACACCACAATGCCTGTGTACACGAAAGCACCCGTGCGCACCACAGCGCCTGTGTACACTGCGGTGCTTGTGCACACCACAGGAACCGCGTGCACCACAGCGCATGGCACACATTTGCGCCACTGCGCTTCCGTGCACATCCAAATTCCCGCCGGGGCCCAAATCTGGAAAATCGCCGGGGGTCCGAACACAGCAAGTTCAGTATGTACATTATTTGTGATTATTGATGTGTCTCGCCCGGGGTGCGGTACCCCCATTTTTGGCCGACCGTGTTTGTGTACACCACAGCGCCTGTCTAGCATGCGCCACGACGCCTTTGTACACCACAGCTGCTTGTGCACACCGCAGCGCCTGTCTACACAACAACGCCTGTGTATACCACAATGCCTCTGTACACCACAACACCCGTGTGCACCGCAGCGCCTGTGTACACCACACACACTGCCTGTGAACACGACGACGCCTATGTGCACCATGGTTGCAGCTTCAGCACCATACTCGTGCACCACAGCTCCAGTGCACCAAAGTGCTAGTGTACACCACAGAACTGCGTAAAATTCCAGGGCCCCTGGCAGGACCGAACTCCAGAAAATCTTGGATTCCGAACGTATCATTTCCAAAATGTGAACTATTCGTGATAATTGATTTTGCTTGCGCAGGGAACGGTCCCGTCTTTTTGGCCCACCACGCCTGTGTACACCATAGCGAATGTGTGCACAGCAGCGGATGTGTACACCGCAGCGCCTGTGTACTTCACAAGGTGTGGTACACCGCAAAAACAATGCAACAGTGCTCCTGTACACCACCAAGCCTGGGATGCCTGCGTGCATGATAACTGATGTTGCAGCAGCAGTCGTACACACCACAAAGCCTGTCTTTGCCATATTGCCTGGGTGCATCACGATGCCCGCGTGCACCGCGCGACCTAAGTGCACTTATGCTTGCGTGCACCACAACGCCTGCGTACACAACATATCTTGCTGCAACAGCAGCACATGCGCGCACCAAATCGCCTCGCTGCCTGTGCCCAACGCAATGTCTGTGTACGCGTTGCTCACGTGCACGTCCAGATGCCTACGGGGGACGCCGGTCGTGGCCGGTCGTCGGTGTCGTCATCGTCGTCATCGCCGTCGTCTATCGTCATCTATCGTCATCTATCGTCGTCTGTCGTCGCCTGTCGTCGTCTGTCGTCTGTCGTCGTCGTCTCCCCGTGCGACTCCAAGCCCCAACGTTTCGCCAACGTGCATCCAAACACCAGCGTTCCCTGCAAGCTTCCTGCGCCCCCCAGGCCTGCACAACCGGCTAGGTTAGGTTATCCTGGGGCGGGGGGGGGGGGGCGAGCCCGATAACCCGGGTTATCGCCGGACCCTAAAAAAAAAGTCTCCTGCGTGCACCATAGTGCACGCCCGCGTGCACAACAGACCCTCGGCTAACCGGGATCGCGTGCTGGATCGGGGCGGGGCGTTACCACTACGGGAGGGAGGGGTAACATGCGTTATCCTTTGGGTGGATGAAAAATTGTCTCCGTAGGCCGTGAAGTCTTGAGTGACCTCTGAAAATCCAAATCGAAAATAGTTTGAAATTGGCCTGGCTCAGGAAGCCTGTGGCATTCAACCTTGAGCCTCCGCCTTGAGCCCCCGCGCCGGCGACGCTGCCGCTTCGACGCGGCACGCACCTGCCGTACACCTGCGTCGGGTCATGCTGGGCCTGGGATCGGTCCTAATATGCGGTCGTTCCTGAGGCGGGCCGGAGGCCAGGAACCTCCTGTCCATCCAGACATCCGACGTCATGATTTTCTCCAAACCCTCCTGAGTTGGGTTCTCGTTTGAAATAGAGCACTATGGTCTCCATCCCGTCCTCTCCTCCTCCTCCTTCTCCTCCTCATCCTGCCTCCTCGTCCTCCTCCTCCTCTTCCTCCTCCTCCTCCTCTTCCTCCTCGTCCTCATTTTCGTCGGGGGGCTGCAAACTTTGCAATTGTCGCCACTGGTGGGCTCCTGGGAGGACTAGCGGCGTTGGTAATCACGTATATCCCGTCGAGACCTCGCGGCTCCATGGGCTTGGGGGGGGCTGACTGTTGCCACTTTCGTGGGCTGCTGGGAGGTCCAGCGAAATTAGTAGCCACGCAAACCCCGTCGAGTTCTCGTGGCTTCCTGGGATGGGGGGAGCTGCGAACTTGGCAACTGTCGCAACTTTCGTGGGCTGCTGGGAGGTCCAGCGGAGTTGGTAGTCACGCAAGCCCCGTCGAGATCTCGCGGTTCCCTGGGGTGGAGGGAGCTTAGAACTGCGCAAATGTCACCACTTTCGTGGGCTCCTGGGAGCTCCACTGGAATGGACAGTCACACACATTGCGTCGAGACCTCGCGGCTCCCCACGCACGGAGGGGTGCTCCTGCGCACCGCGGTTCCTTCAACATGTTCTTCTGTGAATATCGTGAACGATTTCTTTTTCGGCGTTTCGACATTGGGCGAAAGGGAGGGGGAGGGGGGGGGGGCTGACCCCGGAGGTCTGTTTAATGTGACTGTTTGCAACAGTGCGTCCTATGGGGGAGACTCCACCTGCCTGATCAGGCGCCCAAAACAGTCAAGATCCACCCCACGGAGGGGAGGGATGGGGGGGGGGGGGCGGGGGCCGCGCCGATCGGCAAAACTATGCAAAAGAAAACGATCACAGATAGTCGCCACATGTTTAAAAAGGGCTGGGTACATCACGGGGTAGTTCAAATCGTCCCAACACTTTTTCGAATGGGATCAGTTCCTCATCCTGAGATCCTGTGGCCCGGCGAGGGCCCCAGGCCGAGACTTACCCAAGAACCCTCGTCGCGGCTTCTCCACGACGCGAGCAAGTCTGGCTCTCGGGCCGCAGCTGGGGTCTCCACCGGCTGTTCGGGACGGCCTGGGCAAGCCAGACAACTCCCTCGGCGAGACGCCCCTACTGTGCACGACACGAATGGGGGCGGAAAGTATGCGTACGATGCCCAACAGCAGTGCCTGTCCAGGTGGAACAAGGGTTGCTGTCCTTCGGGGAACTTTTGGCAACAACTTTTGGCACGGTGGCAACAGTTCCTGTCCGTTGAGCAACACTGGCTGCCATATTGGGAAGACCGTCTGTCGAAGTGGCAAGATTTGCTGTCTGATGGGCCTCGGCGGACTGCAAATCCTGTCGCACGTGAACAGGCACTGCTTTCAAACTGCTTTGGGGCATCAGAATTGCCCACATGTTCCGTCCCCATTCCCGGCGTGCAGACACCTGTTGCAGCATGGGGGGAACGGGTCCTGAGAGAAACGGAACCTGGACCCCGGGACCTTCCCTCCAGACGGGATCTTCATCCTGAGTCGTTTTCTGACAGCCCCGGGGCCCGTGGAGGGCCCCGAGAACCCGAAAACAACGACGAAAACCTCAGGACCCGTTTCCCTCAGGACCTGTTTCCTCCAAGGCGACTGATCAAAGCTCTAGAGGACGGGTCCGACTGGCTGGCCCCGGTGTGCCATTGCTCGCGGCGGGTTTCCCCGCCACCCACAGAAGAGCGTCGGCTCTGGGTCATCTGCGTGTCGCCGCGCGCGCACCACCTGACCTCGAGGGATGTGCGCCGTCGGTGCTCTTTTTCGCCCTATCTCCTCCTTCTGCACCTGGTGCTGTTTCTATTCCTGGTGCTGTTTCTGTTTCTGTTGCTGTTCCTGTGGGGGGTGGCAGTGCAGGCGTTTCCTCGTAATGCCCCCTATGGCACATTCGGTAGGTCGGGCAACTCCACGTTTTCGCAGGGGGGGGAAAGGGGGGCGACGCGGGAGTTTCTCGAAATCCCCCCCCATCCCCCGCTGGGGGGGAGGGAGGGAGGTGTGTGTGTGTGTGCGTGTGCGTGTGCGTGTGCGTGTGCGTGTGCGTGTGCGTGTGCGTGTGCGTGTGCGTGTGTATGTGTGTATATGTGTGTGCGTGTGCGTGTGCGTATGCGCGTGCGCGTGCGTGTGCGCGTGTGTGCGTGTGTGCGTGTGTGCGTGTGTTCGTGTGTGTGTGTATGTGTGTGAATGTGTGTGTGTGTGGGCGTGCGTGCGTGCGTGCGTGCGTGCGTGCGTGCGCATTTGTGTGTGTATGTGTGTGTGTGCGTGCGGGTGTGCGGGTGCGCGGGCGGGGGTGAAGTGGGTGAGTTTTTGGGTGATGATGAAACTCATCCGCAGCCTACAGACTGCCGACGCGGGAGTTTCTCGAAATTCTCCGCAGGGAGGACGGAGTGCGCGCATCTGTGTATGTGTGTGTGTGTGCATGTGTCTGTGTCTGTGTCTGTGTCTGTGTCTGTGTCCGTGTCTGTGTCTGTTAGCGCGGGGCCTATAAAGGCAAAAAGGAGCCCTCCAAGGTCCCGGGCCCCACTGAGGGGCCAGGGCCCCAAGGGGCCATCCCAGGACAGGGGGCGGGCCACAGGGAACCCGAGAGCCCAGACGAGCCGCAGAAGGCTGCCGCCAGGGCACTTCGGCCCCGAGGCACCGCTCGGCCAGTCAGCTCAGCCCCCGTCATGGGGCATCAGCGCGAAGCGCTGGAAAATATACAAACGCGCATGCACGCGACGGGCGAAGCCCCAAACATGCTTGCACAGCCCCGAGCGGCGCGGCGAGGCGGGCGAGGCGCAGGAAGCTTCACGCCCACGCGCAGAGGCCCGCGGCCACCAGGGGCCCAAAGAGGACAGGAGGACGGGAGACGGACGCAAAGGGAAGGAAAGGAGGAGAGGCAGGCTGGCGCTCCACAGCCAGGAGCGTCCAAGGCTCGGCGCACGCGAGATCGCGCGCATCGAGCGCCCCAAGGCTGGGGCCAGCACGGGCTCAATCACCTCCATCTCCGTCATCTCTGCGTCGCTTCCTGCTCTGGCACTCGAGTCGGGCCTCCTCGGCCTCCTCTGGCCAGCTCAGCAGGCTCTCCTCGTCGAGGCCGTAAGCATCCAGCCAGGCCTTTCGCGAGCCCACCCCCGCCGCGGCGCCTCCAGCCGCAGCGGGCACCTCAGCCGACGAGGAGGTAGCGCGACCTGCGCCGCTCCCAGCAGCGCCTGCCGCCGAGGCGCTGCTCGCGACGCCTGCTGGTGCGTCAGGCTGAACACCGAGCCACTTCAGGAAGCGCACTCTGGCGCCCTGCGGCACCTCAGCCTCCTTCCGAAGACGAGGGGCCTCCGCCCCCTTCCTCCGCGCGCCGCGGGCGTGCGGCGTGCCTCCAGGGTGGAGGCCACGCTCCCACCGTGACTTCTGGTCACGCAGCGACCTGGGGAGGCCAGTTGCCCCAGGACAGCGCTCCCTGAGCTTGGGCTGCGGGCCAGGGCGTCCGCCTAGCCTCGCATATGCTCCGCACCTGGTGCACGCCATGATCTCCTGCTCGTCGCCGCCCTCACCGCACCTGGCGAACGCGAGGGCGCGGCCAGCGACGGCGAAGACCAGGGCGCCCAGCGCGCCTCCGCCGTCGCGCGCAGCCGAGGCCCAGGCCCCAGCAGCGGCGGGACGGCGGCCTGCCTGCCCCCCGCGGGCCTCAACGGCGGCGGGCGTGGCGCCCGACCCGCGTGCGGGAGCCGCCCGCAGACCGTCAGCACGCTCCTCCAGCGGGACCGCGAAGGTGACAGCCGTCCATCGCACGACGCACACGGGGAGGCCCTCGCAGTCCCTGGGGTCCCTGCCCTGCCAGACGATCGAAACCAGCGCGATCCACCTGGGGAGCCCACGCCCCACCTCCTTCGTGCAGAAGAACTCGCGCCTGGCAGTCGCGCTGGCCCTGCGGAGAGCCGCTCCAGCCCTCGCCAGCCTGTCAGCGTGAGCGCTCCCAAGCCACTGACCCTCCGAGATCCTGCCCTCACGAACATCGATCTCTGTGCAGTGGGCCTCAACCTTGTACACGAAGAGCGCGTCGACGTCTAGCGAGGCGTAGACGGCCGACCACAGGTGAGCGTTGGGCTTGTTGGCCGCCGTCGCAAACCTCCTGCCGAGCTTCAAGCCGCTGACTGTGGACGCACAGTCGATGTTGAACACGATGATCGAAGGCCCGAGGTGGCGGCTCAGCATCCAGACCGCAAAGTCCTCACCGTCCTTGGCCGTCTGGAAAGGGCACAGGTCGAGGCGGACCGTGCCGTGCACCGCCGCCTGCAGGTTGCCGAACTCGTCGCACTGCACGATACTCCAGCCTGCCCTGCGGGAGCATCCGAACTCAGGGTCGAGCGCCGAGCCGTCGAGGAGGAGGCGACCGCCTAGCAGCCCGACGGTAGGCCTGTTTACCCACATGACTACCATCGCGTCCGACCTCCAGGCCGCCTTTTCCCTGCCGCTGAACTTGCCGCGCAGGCCGATGACCTGGCCGAGGGCGTCCCAGAACAGGGGCATGGCGGGGGAGGCGCCGCGCCCAAGCCGCGCCATCTCGGCCCTGTCGGAGGCCCTGCGAGCACCCGCCGCAGCCAGCAGCCCGAGCTCGCGGGGGCCCAAGATCAGCAAGTCCAAGGCGCGGCCGTCGTCGGGGTGCGCGCCGCCCGCCAGCACAGTGCCACTGGCCCCGGAGGGGGCCGACGCCATGCCTCCTGCCAGCACGATCCTCGGGGCCTGGAAGATTGCGAGGAGGCCGCGCGGCAGCTTCAGGTAGAAGCCGAAGCGCTGGGCGGACGACCAGAGGAAGTCGTGGCGCACGTGCTCGAAGCACTTGCGGATGTCCAGCAGCAGGCTGGCCACCTCGAAGTGCGGGGCGACCGTCGCAAGGCCCGCGAAGCAGTTGCGGATCCAGCCCGCTCTTTCGCAGACACGGCCATCAGAATCTCGAGGGTCGGACTCAGGGGCGGGCTGCGGCCCGAGGCAAGCCTTGCCAATGCAGGCCTCCTGTGCCGTCTTCCTCTTCCGCTGGTCACTTGGCACCTTGGCTTGGCTACGCCAGTCGAGGGTCTCGGCCGCCCGCTCGTCAGCGGCCTCGACAGGGGGCGCGGGGGGGTGAGGGGCAACGGCCACCCGCCCATCGGCGGCCCTCACCGCACCCCTTTGGCCAGGTGCCGTACTCGCAGGTTTGCCCAAGCCCAGGGACAGGCAATGGGCTCCCCGCTCCACTGGCGCCTGTTCCCTCACGCGCCGTCTGACCCTCCTGTCATCAACCGAACACGGGCCTGCCGAGTCTACGTCAAACCCGACTGCGGCCCACGCCAGCATGGCCAACAGCAGCCGTCGCCAGCGGCTGGTCGTCAAGGAGGGCTGCGCCAGCGTTGGCCAGGTCCCTCGCAAGCGGCTGGGTTGAGGGCCACGCACCGTGCGCTTCTCCTCGCCGCGCAGCTTGGCCACGCTCGGCGGCGTCCTGCAGAGGGGGGCCTGACGAGGCACACATCTGCTCCTCCTCATCCCCGTCGAGGTCCTCGTCGGAGACGTCGAGGGGGGTGTCGGCCCAGGAAGAGCGCCCCCTAGCCTCGGGGGGGTGCATGCCTGCGGACCGCCGCGATCTGCTCGGCGACCTCCGCGAAGGCGGCCTCCCCGTTGCCCGCGGCGAACCCCTGGGGCAAGGCCTCGACCTGCTGGATGAGGCCGAAGACCATCCCGAGCAAGTCCGTGCCGACGAAGGCCGCGCCGACCTCCTTGGCTTGCCTGGCCTCTGCGGCCCTCTGCTCCTCACGGTGAGCCTCGAGAGCAGCTCGGCACTCCTCAACGGCCTCAGCGCACGCAGCTTCTCGCGCGATGGCTGCCTCACGCTCTCTGATGGCTGCCGCGTGGGCCTCCTCGGCCTTGAGCAGCGCCTGCTCCTTGGCCCGCCCCTGCCTGGCCAGCTTCGCCAGGGCGTTGCCAGCGCCGCGGAGCGCCTTGGGCAGGGGGGTGTCGGCCTTCCTGCGTTCCGCCAGCGCCGCCTCTGCTGCCGAGAGCCTGCGACGCTCGCGGTCGAGGGCCGAGCGCAGCGACTGCAGGCACGCCTCGTCGATGGACTCGCCGGGGGCCGCGAGGAAGTCCTCGATGCGCTTGACCTCCTGGCGGTGCCGCTCGACGGCCGAACCCTGCACGCTGCTAGCCTCGCTGACGCCAGCCAGACTGGCGGCCCCCGCGCTGGCCGCGCGGGCAGCAGTGCGCTTGGCCTGGCGCCTCGCTTTCCTCCCACGGGGTTGGACGACGAAGCCCTCGGCGTCGGCGGCGGGCTGCTCCTGGCCAGCGGCTGCCGCGGGCGGCTGAGCAGCCTTGACCCACGGCGGGGCCACTCGGCCGCAGCCGCGGCACTTCCAGTGCGAGCACCAGTTCCACTCCCTGCACTGCCCGCTGGAGCAGACCCAATAGCTCCAGCTGCCTTTGGCCTTGCCGCCCGCCGCGACGCCGGCCCAGGAGCGGCCTCCAGCTGGCTGCCCGAGCGCCACCATGGCAAGGCAGGCTCTGTCGAATGGCCTCGCTGCCCAAAACTGCGGCCTCTCTGCAGAGGCCCGAGGTCCGAAGAACACGCGCCCGAAAGCTGGCCCAAAGCGCGGAGCCCCTCGCGATCAGAGCGCCGCGGACGACTCGCGGTCGTCGGGTGCTCCATGGCCTTGAGCCAAAAGGCTACGGATGTGTCTGTGTCTGTCGTTGTCTCTGTGTCTGTGTCTGTGTCTGCGTCTGTGTGTTGCGCGCGCGTGGGCGTGCATGCGCGCGCATTTGCGCGCGCGGTGCGCGGCGGCGGGGGGCGGGGGGGGGGGGGGGGGGGGCAATTTCATGAAACTCCTCCGCTGCTCAATATCTGACGAAGCTGGGGCTTCTTGGCGTTCTCCGCTGGGCGCGGGGTGGGGGCGCAATTGTTCGCAATTCCCAGTGTGACGACGGTGCGTGTGTTTGCGTATGTATGTGTGTGTGCGTGCGTGTGTGTGTGTGTGTGTGTGAATGTGTGTGTGCGTGTGCGTCACGTGCCGGGCTGCCCCCTCCTCCTTCTCTTGCATTGCGGCTTAATTCGCATGTGTATTCCCTACACATGACCTATCCGCCAGCGCAGTCACTTTGCCTAGCCGCCGACGCAAAAAGTGTGTGTGTGTGCGTGTGTGCTCGTGTGTGTGTGTGTGTGTTGGTGTTCGGGGGCGGAGGGGGGAGAGGTGGGGAAATTTCGAGAAACTCCTCCGCAGCCTGGGGACTGACGACGGAGAGGTTTTCAAAATTCCCCGGTGGGGGCCGGTGGGGCGAGCGCAACTTCGCGAAACTCCTGCGCATGTAGGAAACTGACGACGCGGGAGTTTCTCGGAATTCCCCGCTGTGGGGTTGCGTGTGTGCGTGTGCGTGTGCTTGTGCTTGTGCTTGTGCTTGTGCGTGCGTGTGTGCGTGGCGTACGTGCGTGCGTGCGTGTGCGTGCGTGTGTGTGTGTGCGTGTGTGTGTGTGTTATAGTGGGTGGGTGGATGGGTGATGGGTGGGTGGTGGGTGGGTGGGTGGGTGAGTGCGGGCGCGGGCGTGCGCGTGGGTGGGTGGGTTGTGGTGGTGGGGGCGCAATTTCAATGCACCCCTCTGCACCTTGGAAGTTGACGACACTGGAGTTTTTCAAAATTTCCAGCGGGGGGTGGGTGCGTGGGTGGGGCGCGGGGCCGGCGCAACTTCGAGAACCCCCCCCCCCCCCCGCAACCTGGAAATTGACGGCGCGGGAGCTTTTCCAAAGTCAACGCGGGGGGGGATCGCGGAACTGGGGGGAAGGTGAGGCCTGGAAGTTCGAGGAACTCATTGAAACTCTGCATCTGCAGAAAGGGAGCGGGCGCGCAACTTCGAAACTCATCCGCAGCATAGCAATTGACTCTTCGGGAGTTTCTCGGCATTCCTCGCGGAGTGCGGGGGACGGGCGAAATTTAGAGAAACTCCTCCGCAGCCGATAGAAACGCACAGTTTTGGAAGTTTCTGGAAATTCCCCGCTGGGGGTGGTTGTTACGGTTGTCGTCGTCGGCGTGTTTGTTTGTTTGTGAGTGTGCGCGTCTTTGGTGGTGGTGGCGGTGGAAGCTGGCAAATTCGAGACATTCGTCCGCAGCCGGGAAACTAGCGACGCGGGAGTTGTCGAAATTCCCCGCTGGTGGTAATGGGAGGGGGTGTAATTCCGACCGCCCCCCCATAGCCTAAAAACTAACGACTCTGGCGTTTCTCGAAATCCCCCCCCCTCCTTTCCCCCTCGCCCCAATCTCTCGGAAACCGTTGAGTTTCTCGAAACTGTTTGTTTTAAGCATATTTTGATGCACTCAAATGTAATCGCATGTCAGGCTGCGTTAGATGTTCCTGAGGCACCATGCCGCTTTTGAGAGACTCCAAGTCAATCCACTTGCTGGACTGATAAGAGTTCCCCGCAATACGCTACCGGCGAACAGTTTCGCAAAACGCCTGCACAGCCATTCACCGTTGCTGTTGCTGTTGGCCGAAGGGTCGGGAGTCGGCAGCGACGCAGCCATCAGCCCCATGCAGGGGCTAGGTTCCTTTGGAGGAGGGTCGCCCCAAGGATGGAGACGGGGGAGAGAGGACGACAGACGACAGGCGAGCGGAGGGAAGAACCTCCTGAATGGGGGTCCAGAGAAGGGGAGGACACGGGCGAGCCAAACCGCGTTCTCCTCCTCCTCCTCCTCCTCCTCCTCATCATCATCATCAGGCGTCCTTTCTTAGGGGGCTGTGCACTCGGGGAAAGGGGCTTCTGCGGGGTCGCGGGTCTTGGTTTGTCTTCCTCGTTCGTTTCCTCGCGCGTTTTGCTGGATTCGGTTCGCGCGTAGGCGCCCTGTTCCAAGGGTCGGGGTCTAGCCGTCCCCGCGCTGCCGCTGGCCTCTGTCGATGCCCTTGGTCGTTGGGCTCTTCTCCTGGCAGCGGTCCTGGCTGTTCCATTCTCTGTTGAAGCTCCTGGTCGACGCACCTGGTCGGCGCCCAGTTCTCCTCTCAGGTATTCGGCGGTTTCACTGCTTACCGCCTGCTATGCACCGCGATGCATCTGGTCAGCGATCCTGGCTGCACCGTGTCTCACCTCACACCCCCAGATCCTATTGGGCGTGTCCATGGCACCCTCTCGGCAGCTCGTGCCGTTCCATTGATGTCTTGGCACTTCGCCGTCCCTTTTGCAAAATCATCCATCTGTCCGAGGCGGCTGGTCAGCGGTCCTGGCTGCACCACATCTCACCCCATCTCCAATACTTCTTCGTGCGAGTCCGTTGCAGCCGGGTCAGCAACCCTGGGCGCCCCATTCGTGCCCCTGCACTTCCCCCTCCCGCCGATCATGTATCCATTCCCCATTCTTGCTGTCATAATGTTTCCCTTCGCTCCCCCCCTGCCCAACCGGGGCTTCAGTCAGGGGCACGGCGGGCATTGCATGCACGAGGGCGGCCATTTCCGCCAGACTCCGGCAGAGACGACGAGCGACCGTCGGCCCCCTCCAAGTCGCATCCTCGCCCTCCCTCTACTCACACACACACACACACGCACGCACGCACACACACACACACACACACACACACACACACACACACACACACACACACACACACACACACACACACACACACACACGCACACTTATACATAGCTTGCCTCCCCCCCCTCCTTCCCGCTCCCCCCCTCCCATTCCCATCCTTGCCCCTCCTCGCCCCCTCTTCCCTCGTACGCTACAGCCCTCCGTTTGATCTCCCTCCTTAGACCTGTCCCGCATACTTCCTCGCGGCGCTGGCTCAGGCAGCACGTTTCCGACGATGGACGCTCGTCCAAGATGGAAATTCCGCTCTACAGGAATGGGGGGGCGCCCCTGGCTCTCACCAGCGCTTCGATTTTCTGTCCGCGAATGGCGCGGACCCCGCCCTGCTGCATTCCTGGCGGCACGGGCATTCTCTCGGGGCGTCACCTGTCGTTCCGAGGCAGGCGCGCAATCATCCCTTCTGTCACGTCCCAGCTCGCGTGGGCCGAACGTGAATGGGACCGCCTTGCTGAAACCAAGAAGGTTTCTGTTTTTCCTGTCGACGCCCCTCCGCCCAAACACCTCAGCGTCAACCCGTGCGGCTTCATCCTGAAACCGCGCCCCGGGGCGGACGCCGAGGCCGACGAAACTGAGCGCTTCAAAGCGCGCTCAATCGTCGATCTTAGGCGGGGGGGAGTCAGCGAGTGCACGTCAAATGCCGACGTCTCGAACGGCGCGCTAGACCAGGCAGTGGCCCGCATGTCCGCGGGTTCTTGGCTGTTCGTGCTCGACTTGCGTGACTATTTTTTTGTATTGGCGTGCGTCCGACGCCGACTCGTACGCCTTAGGTTTTTATTCCCATGGCAGACGCCAGTTCGGGAAATACAACTATTTACCTTTCGGCCTCAAGCTTGCGCCTGGTAGCAACGACACTAACGTGAAGGAGAGTTTAAGAATCCTCCGCCTGCGCGCCGAAGTGGACCTGTTAGACTTCGTTGGCGATCTTTTAGGCGCGGCACCGGACGAGAGCACGGCTTGGCATAACCTGTGTCGAGCAGTTCGCTTTCTGTTGCGGCGCGGCATCCCCATCAGTGTCAAGCCTGGCGGCATCCGCGCACCAGCACGCCGACAAACCTGGATCGGTTGGGTGTTCGATATTGTCGACTTCATAATCACCGTGCCGCGTGAAAAGACTGACCGCTGTCGCGAGTTGTGCGCTGCCGTTATCGAGGCAGACCAACGCCGCGCACTCCGCAGCAGACAGCTAGCATCGGCAGTAGGTTTGGCCTCGCACATCGCGGAACTCCTGCCGTAGTTGCGTCGCCGGCTTCGCCCTCTTTGGGCAGACTTTAACGCGTCGGGGGTGTATTCGGCGTGGCGTTCCAGCCCCCTGGCCGACCCACCGGTGACCCTATCGGAGCTCATCCGCGCAGCCCTGGCGCACATCTGCTCCGCTCTGGGCACGCCCCCAGTGCGTTCCTTGCACTGTGGCGGCGGTCCTCTCAGCATGTGGGGCCATAAATCCCCCAAGTTCGCTGATTGGGCGAACCTTGTTCGCAAAGGCGCAATCCGGGTCGTGGAGTGCGACGCTTCCAAAATGCACGGCTGGTCATGCCATCTGTGTTGGGACAGCCGCGTTGCAGTCGAGACGTGGCCTGAAAACTTTGCAACCGGGAGGGCGCAGCCCAATTCCTTGGCAATCAATTACAAGGAGTTGTGGGTTGCAGTCCAGTGCCTTCTCAGGGCGTCCTCCTCCTTGAAGGGTTGGCGGGTCTTGTTCAGGCTCGACAATTCCGCTGCCGTGCATTGCGCCCATGTGCGCTACGGGCGAATACCTTCCCTCGAGTCTTTGGCACATCGTTTCGAAAGCGCCGAGCGGGCGGCTCAATGTTGGGCGCTGGCCGTGCGCATCTCTGGCAAGAGCGACGTCATTGCAGACGCGGGTTCTCGGTCTTTGGACTTCGCGCGCCCCTGGCGCGAGGATCAGTGCAGGGGCGCCGCTC